AAACTACCGGCCAAATAGTCTTGCTTGTTAATTCGTTTACGCCAGTCATCCCCGCCCTTCATTACTCTCGTCCATTACATTTCCACAGCTGCTGTTTTTTTTTTTTTTTTTTTTTTCTTTTTTTATTGCGGTGATTTTCCGCACGTTTCCTCGTGTTAGAGAGATAATGATTTATGAATGTTCGATCGAGAAGATGATTTTTACAGATCTGCAATAAAAGAATTTCTGATTTGCGGAAGAATTCTGTTCACAAGCAATTTAGTATTTAAGGTGAAGTCTCTTCTAGATCAAGTTGAATTGCATTTTTTGCTGAATAATAGCCTGTCTTGATTTTGGAAAATAGTGTGACAGAATTGTCAAATTACGAAGTTGTCGCATTTTGAATCCGGTGCCATCAATAGTTTCGATACGGACGATGTTTTTATTTTCACGGATGCGCAGTGCTATGCCAGAAATAAATAAAGGAAAAATAAAAATGAAAAGAATATATATATATATATATATATATATATATATATATATATATATATATTATATATATATACATATATATATACTATATATATATATATATATAATATATATATATATATATATATATATATATATATAATTATATATATATATATATATATATATATATATATATATATATACACATACACACACACACATACAACATACACACACACACACTTTATATATATATATATATATATATATATATATATTATATATATATATATATATATATATATATATATATATATATATATATACTATAATATACAACATACACACACACTTTATATATATTACATATTATATATATATATATATATATATAATATATATATATATATATATATATATAATATATATATCACGCACAGAAATACACTCACACACACTCTTTACTAATCTCAATCGTGGTACTATGTTCCCGAAATGAACACTGAATTGAAACCACAATGGCAGTAAAAGATAAAAGCCTCGACCACCTCATGATATTGATAAAAAAAAAGAAAAAAAGAGAAAAACTCTCATCACATCATTTTCTATAACCAGGACTTACGTGAGATGTGTATTTTGTCAGATTTTCATTTGGCAAGAAAATCGTCTCTGGCAGTTAGTAATCAAAGTCGAAATCGCTGCTTTTTGATTCAATGAATAAATTCCGGTGAACCTTTTTAACACGTTGCGGCGAAGAATAGATACATGAGGAGTAAATTATCATGGAAATCGGTATATTTTGATGAAAATGAGTGAAGAGAGTATATGAATTATTTGTGGATTTTCAGAATGGAGACTGATAATAATGCAAAATTAGTAGGAAGAACAAGCACTATTTGTTGATATTTTTTTTTAGGCCTAGACAAAATATGACAATGGTTCATACCCTCCCCTCCCTTTTCACTCCATCGCTCCATTTTTTCCTTTAAGCAATATTTTCAACATTGTAAATATTGTACACCATGTATCATATTTGTATCTTTTCTGGTACTATTTTTAGATATCTTTTAAGTCTTGACAAAATACGACAATGGTTCTTAACTACCCTGTTCACGCCATCACTCCATTCCCCTCTTTTATCAATTTCCAACATTACGTATATATTAAACATTACGTTTAATTTTTATTTTTAATCTAATTTTAATTAAACGGGTACAATTTTCATATATCATTTAGACCTGGAACGAATAGTGCTTAACTCCATTTTCACTCCATTCTCCCGTTTAGCAATTTTCAACGTCAACATTTCTCAACATTATTTTGGACACGCACTCTCTGTGGTAGCCCGCCGTAGCCTCCTTTAAATCCTTGCCGTGTACCCCTCCCCCCTCCCTCCCCCGCCAAGATTGAGAATAAAAACAATAATCTAAAATAAATGTCAGATTTCCAAAAGCAGTAAAGCGATGTATTCGGTAAAATGTCCGCTGACCACTGACCTGCGCGCCTTTCAAATCGAATATTTATTTTGACCCATTCCTCTCTCACCGCTCTACTCTTCAATTAGGTTTGTATTCGCTCAGCATCGTATTTTTTGTATCATTATTATCAATGATATTGCTATCATTTTTGTTATTATCCTTATTATTATCACCCTTACTACTACTATCATTATTATCATTATCATCATCATTACCAGTGCTATTATTATCATTAGAATTACTATTATCGTTATTATCATTGTCATTGTCATTACTATTATCATCATACCTATCATTATTGTCACCTTTATCAATTCTCTCTCATGTTCATCATCATATTATTATTCTTTCATATATTCTCATTTGTATTTATCATCGGTTTCATTGTCATCATAATCTTTTATTCCTTCCTCCTCCTCCTTCGCTTCTTCTTGGTTTTATTCTTCTTTTCCTTGTCCTCACCTTCTTTTTCTCCATTCTTTTTTCTTCTCCTTCTTCTTTTCTTCTTTTCTTGTATTTTTGTCCATCTTTTCTTTCTCCTAAAAGCGCGTCATAAATAAGTAAAAGAAAATTTTAAAAATCTGAGAAATATATTAACGCAAAGGAGATGAAATGAAAACAAGAAAAGGTCCATTGTTCAAAAAGAAAAAAAGTGTGTTATAAGTAACCCAAAAGGACAAAGGAGATATATCAGACAAAAGAAAGAAAGAAAAAAA